GCAGTCCTGATTTGATTCAGTCAGCATTTTTTATTTTAAACGTCTGCCTACCGCAGCATGTAAATAAACTTCTCAGACTATGTAGTGAAGTCAGATGAGTGCCCTGTGCAGTGAAAGAGAATGTGTCCTGGTATTATGTGAAAGGGTGTGTCTGCCGACGGGAAACATAAAAGACGAAAGGCCACGACACTCAGTTTTCCAGCTCTCTTGAATCTTTTAAGTGCGGCTGAGTCAGAGAGCAGTTGAGAAAATTGGCCCAGAGATGTAACTCGATCTTGTCGAACTGTACTCTCTTTGTAAACTAGTACATTTAACAGGAGTTTCATTCAAACGTAATGGGGGTGTGCTCGGGCATTGTGTGCTGGAATCCTTTTGTAGTCACTATAGCAGACTCCTTCCACTCCCCTTTAACCTCTTCTAATCTGCGTTCTTGTTTCTCCTCTTTTAAACTTTCCTCTCGATTAAAGAAATGTGAGTTCAGAGCGAAGTGAGGCGAGGAGGAAGCTCAGGGAGTGCACGGGATTGGTCGACTCGCTCATGTACATTGTCAAGTCCCAGATTGACTGTAAAGATGTGGACAATAAGGTATGTGGATTTCTGATTGATTAAATCCTTTGACACATTTGTTTGATCCTTGTTGCTTTTGTGTGTTCAGTAACATTTACCTGTGAATTTACAATGAGAAAGGCGGCGTTTTGATTCTTAACTTCCTCTCCATCTCTGCAGTTGACAGAGAACTGTGTGTGTCTGCTGAGGAACCTGTCCTACCAAGTGCACCGTGAAATCCCCAACCCCGAGCGCTACCTGGAGGCCACACCAAACCACCAAGGCCCCGCCTACTCCAGCAATAAGGGCAGTTGCTTCGGTTCCCGCAAGAGCAAAGGTGTGTGCCTTAGACAGCGATAGCGTAGTTTTCATTCAGTATCGAGAGCATTCGGTGAGGTCACATCATCTCACTGAGCTGATACCTGCACATACACACAATCGTAGACAAACACACTTACACAAACAAAGCCAGTCATCAGCACAGCAATGCTAACCCCTCCCCCCCTTTAGAGAAATCTTATCCTCTCTTCAGCTGCTCTGTTTGTGTTTCACCGAGAGTATTGATTTGTTTTTGTCCGACTACAGCCCCCACTACAATTTGCTGGCTTTGTATTACAAAGTCAATTGCAACAACTACGTGTTAATGTTGGTATAAATATGTCAAATGTTTAGTTTTTTAGTTTTATTTTTTTCCCTTTATTTCTGATTTGACTCTTTACTTATAGAAGATAGTGACTGATGATATAAGAGTGAGTGGGGAGGTGGTAGGGCACAACTAAACTCAGGCTGCTGCAGGTGAGGTGTAGGGCAGCCCCCAGGTAGTTATTTTGTGTTTGTAGCTACTCTAAACTTGTACGTTATTAATACATTTGATGTACAATTTTATGTGAATATGAAATTACTTGTTTGGTTTGGGCGTTTCCCTGCATTTGCTTTATCTGGCCTTCATACATGGCATGTCACATGCTGATTCTGTGTGGTGGCAGTGCTGCTTTTGGGGTGTAAACAGGTGTTTACTGAGTGACTCAATTACGGCTGCTTTCCTTTTTACTTAAATGCTCTCTCTTCCTCCTGTTCTGCTGCTCTTCTCTTTCCCCTCCCTGCCCTACATCCTCCTTCGGCCTGGCTGCAGATGAGTGGTTTTCCAAAGGTAAGCTTTCTTTACCTGGCTATGCACTTTACTTCTGCTTTGTACTTTTGTCTTGGAGTGGGTGCAGTAGGATCATGGCTTAGATAACAGAAATGTTTTACTAGCACTAACATGCCCTATTTCTTAATAGCGGAACACTCGTAGAACGTGCACTGTAGTTTTTAAATCTTCGTGTTTGCCCTGAAGAGCACGTGTCTAACCAAATCAGAACACATGTACTAACAGCGCATGTGTCAGTCTGAAACAGCCGTCACACTCGGTGTCAACAGCAGATTGTTTTGGCATTTTTGTTGATGTTAATGTTTAATGTTGCTTCCAGGAAGGAAAGATGAGGATACAGCTGATGATACAATAGACATTCCAAAAAGGACCTCACCTGCTCAAGGTAAGCAAAGGCTCTATGAACACCTTTT